CTCCCCTCTTCCAACCTCTCATCGCGGCTGTCAGCTGGGGAAACGATTGTCGTGGGTGTGTAACTGTCCGTTCGGGGACGATCGACTGCGTGGGCGTCGCGGTGGCTGTTAGAGGCGCGTCGAGAAGCGCCATTGTCGTGTCGGCTGCCACGTGAATCGCGAGCGAACTTTCCCTCCGCAGATCGGGCGAGATCGATCTTGCGGAGATCGCGAGCATCGGTATCCGTCCTTCGAATGCTCCGTTCCTCGTCGAACTACATATTTCTCGCAGAATCCAGTTAACGGAACGAATCAGGCGATTAGGATGACGCATCGCCTCGTCGCAGTGTCCAGAGGATAACGAAGTAATCCAGACATCCCGATCAGAGACGTCGAGAAATTATAGAGCTACAGCAGCATCAACGGTGGTGTTGGACCACGCGAAGCTCGAGCCGCGAAAGTGGAGTCCTATTTATCCGCGGCGGCAACCCAGTGACCCGTTTTCGTTTTTAATCGATGCGGTTCCGAAAAAGAGTTTCGAAAAATCGGAGAGACAGAAGGGCGCAGCCATTATCCAATAGCGGAATCCAACGAACGTCGTCGAGCACCATCCTGCTGCGTGCGAAATCGCGCGTCGATTAGGTGGACAATTACGCGGTCGCTGATTCAGTCGTCGATTTCCAGCCAAGGCGAATTGATTCATCAACCCGGAGGCGGCAAACGGACGAAACGCCTAGCCGTCCCCTCCCCCATCCCGCAAGACACGTCATCCGCGAGGTCGAGGATCCGAGGATATTATCACCTTTGGTGCGGAGACCGCGTATCGTCCGATGGTGCATTCGGGCAGCGCAGCGCGTGAGGCCGGGCTGCAAGAGAGAATGCGAGAGCCTCCTCACAGTCTGTGAACATGATTTGTCATACACATGCGACGGGCGGTAATCGTACGACGAGAGACACCGACGACGACGACGACGACGACGAGGAGGAGGAGGAGGACGACGAGGAGGAGGACGACGAGGACGACGAGGACGACGACGACGACGACGACGACGATGACAATCGACTCCGCGGCCATGCCACGAGTACGCTGCGCGCTCGCATGAAATCAACCCGACTACTGCCCGATTACCTTACCACGCATCAGCGGAAAGAACAGCAACAGCGGCGGCAGGGAAAGAGATCTGTATCGCGCCAAACGTCGACCGGCGCAAAATCTAAGGACGTCTACCGCATTCCTTCATTGTTATCCCGTGTAAAGGAGGCCGCACCGAAGTCATCGACCACAACCACGGAGGAGATCCCGCGTCCCGATTGGCGCGATCTGCGAGTGCAACGTACCGCGAGTGCCGAGCCGACGGTGCAGCCGTCACGACGACGACGACGACGACGACGACGACGTAACCCCGGTGCGCTCGCGTTCCCGCGTCGGTGCGGTGCGGTGGTGCGGTCAACGGGTGTCGGATGACTTCCCCAGGACAACAGACGTGTTTCGTAGTCGTAGAAGGTTATTGTATATTGTCCCGATCGTTTTATCCCGCAACGAGAGTCGTCGTGGAAGAGGCGCGCCTAGGGTGCAGCCCCATCGGAGCAACGGTAACGTCCCGTCGACGTCGACGTGGTCGTCGGTGGTGCGCCGGCCTGCCTACCCGCGTCATACTCACGTCGCATACCCCGTGCACGCGCGTATATCACCACCATCGTGATGGCGGAGCTACCTCAGCCCGACATGTCGCATCTCACCCCCGAGGAGAGGCGCATCATAGAGGGTGTTTTAATGCGCCAAAAGGAGGAGGAGGAACAGGATCATGAGATTATGAGGTACGGAACTATGCTCGCGACATACATGTACTTTCTGACAATTTTCAATGAATTCATGTGAACACGTGGAAATTTTCACGAGCCTCTTTGAAGATATTTATAAATAGAAACGGTAAATTATATGGTCTTACTTATGCGATAGATCGATTTGAAAAATAGTCTCAAGAAATATAATTGTAATCTAAAGCATTGATATAAATTCTATCGCAAAATATATGCATAATATGCAAAATATGTTATATACAAAGAAAAGGATAATACAAAAAGACTTTTCGATTAAGTTAATATATTCTCACAATGAAAGAATAAAAAATAATATATTATGATAATTTTATTAATTTGAAATATTTAAAAATTAGATGTTTGAAGCAAAAATTAAAAGAGTTAATGAAATAATTAAGTAACATAATTATAATTTTTATCTAAATGACGATATATGTGAACGATTGATATTGTTTTTTCTATCTAGAAATAATAAAATATTAAAGAACTCGAAATATCATTAGCGTAGTACTAAAAACTATTTTATTATTTTCAATGATATTTATATAAAATATATACGTGTGTAATAAAGCACGAATGTGTGTGTGTGTGTGTGTGTGTGTGTGTGTTGAAATTTTTTTATTGCTGTCGTATAAACTTGACTCGTAATGGATTTGAAACTATCGACGAGGTATTGTTTCACAAGCAGAGAACGCGCGGGTTTTCGCACGGGTATTTAGAATTCTCTATTGCACCGGATATTTCCATGGCTGGTCAAATACCTGTAATAATATTCACGTATCGTAATAGATATAATCGGTATATTGTTCATCGTGTTTTCGTGTAATTGTGGCCATTTTTATTCCGATCGTCGCAAAGAAAAATCATGAAATTGCACAGCATCAGATAATAATTGTCGAGAATCTCGATATTTCATTGGAATAAAAATTCGATGTGTTGATTTACGTTGGTGGAACATTTAAGCGAATACACTTTTTCTGATTTACGCAAAAAATTATTTTCTCAGCATAATTTTGCTATAAATTTAATCATTATTTGGACGGAGATTATATTAAACAGAAAAAATTAAACAGAAAATCTTTATATCTTTATTAAGAATTATATTTATTTGCAATTTATTGGAATATATTAATATTTATAAAAGAAGTACGCATTGTAGAAAGGGTAATAACTTTAATTGTAATAAAATTGTAATGTGTCTATTTTAACGCTACTGGATCAGTGATAACCGTCAAGGTCAAGCCTGGGCTAAGTTTAGAAGTTATCGGAATTAGGGATAAAAGATATTAATGATCAGCTCGGCGCAAAAGTCAGCGTAGATCAGCGGCGCGAAAGTGAGACATCATTTAGTTAGTTTTTATCGCAATTGGCAGACGGACGAAACGACAACCGATCGATTGGACAAAGGTATTTCTCGACCAATGAGTCTGCTCCGGCTCGTTTCACCTATTTTCCCGGCTCACCTGCTCATTAGTCCTTGACCGCTTTATACCTACATCTTCCATTTATGTATCCACGGCCCCGCACATGCTCCCGATTACCGTGTCGGCTCTCATCTCTTTTGTATCAAGCGGTCAGAAATAAAAATCGTTTATAATTGTGTCTCTCCGCAAATATTCTCGCCCTTGTGCCGCCTTTGCAACAAGGTTCTGCGTCTCAGGTGCCCCGTGCCTCGATTGCGACCGAACGTGCCGCGATGTAACGTGGACGTGTACGGGAACGATCGATTGTGCGATCGGCCTCGCCGTTATCGTCGGTGATAAAAATACGACAGCCGATCCGCGCTCCGCTTATCACGGGAGGCGCGGGCGACTGGATCGCGGCGACAGCGGCGTGCGTAATTGCGCGAACGGACAACCGGTGTTCTCTCACACACCCGTGGCGGCTAACAATAACTGTAAACGAAGGGGTGGTAAAGAGGAGGGGGAGGAGAGGGGGAAGGGGTGGCAAAGGGAAGGAGGAGGAGGAGAGGGAGGGGGGAGCCGGGCGTTGCGCAGTGAACAGGTTTTATTGATAGGTCGTCGCGGCCGGGCGAAAAACGGGAACGTGAGAACGAAGGGAAAGAGTAATGAGGAAAGCGTGCTGTGCCATACCGATGCGCGCGAGATCTCATGTAATGTAGACGACAAGTACGTATAGGGACGCATGTAAAATGCAAGGCGACGAGCCTTGACGTGGCTTAGTAACGAGCTACTGCAGCTGCATAGGGTATGCATAGGTGTACATACGCGACCGCGCGTAGCTCGTGGACGGGGTGTGAAAGCGTCTAGATTGGCACGGTAAATTCTTAAAGGGTGAAATATATACGTCGTCCCCCTGCAGATAGGTAGCCGACATACCCGACGGCGACGAGGAGGAGGAGGGAGGAGGGGGGGGGGGGAGGGGAAGAGGAAGGAGCGAAAGAAGCGCAAATACCATTGAATAATGACGAGATGGCGCAGACTTAACGCCGGAAAATTAAGTCGGCAATTATATCGTTGCGTTTACCTGTTGTTCGCTATTATTAGCTTCGATTTCCGAGAAAAATTTTTCTATGTAAGAAAGATAAATCATTCCAGAAATGCGCGATCTTTTTCACCACAAAGGATGACGACGAATGTGCATCTCGGGGAGGAGTCGGATGTCGTCCCCTTCGTTCCATTACACGGTCACCACATTATCACCGCATTAATGTTGGTCTTTGTTCCATTTCGTAGACGCCCGTGCAATACACGCAACGTTCGTACAACCCTGAGATGTACGCTATATTTCTCATGATTTTATGATACTTTCTTTCGCACTGAATGCTTCCATACCGGCGAGTCGTTCCGTAGATTATATTAAAGCGGTATTGTCGCAGATGTTATATTAGCACACATTTGGATGAAATATAAAAGACATGAAAAATCCACGAGGAGAAAAACGTGTCGCCATTTTACAATGGTGATTGTCGCCCTGGCAAAATTTTGATTAAAATTAGGAGTCTTTCTGCTCAGAAATTAAGAGCATTTTTTACTTCTTTAATATTCAAACGCTATTTAAATAAATTAAATTCTTTTATTTTATCGATGTTGATTCTTAAAATTTATTTTAATGTAGAATATCAACTGAGAAAGTCCAGACTGAAGGACAAATTTAGGATACACTAAAAGCGTGAGAAAGTTAAAGTTACAAAACTAGGAATATGTATCTGTGATACTTCATCTGTACAAGCTCCTTTTTAGCTCTTTCACGTCGCTGGGAGAGCAGTCTCTTGCGTGTCGCGACCTTTGCACGATCGCTCGTAACGCAAAAGTGGGAAAGTCTTGAGCGACTCTTTGTCGAGTGTGATCACCGTTGCGTGCGCAAGTCACTCGATTATCGGTAAAGTAATTAGAGAAATATAGGTATATAGATGCAGTGCTAACCCCTTTCCTCCCCCTTTCCTTCTCCGTTGTAACACAACGCGCTGGCTTTTGTTCTATCGACAAACTCGGGATTTGGGTTACGGTGTCAGGATGCGTGGCGCGACCGTCTCCTTTATTTGACAATCGGTCAAGGGTAAGGAGATTCAGCTTACACGTATTCCTGGATGCAGCCTCACTGCTTCCTATATCTCGTTCTGTGGTGAGAGGGGTGAGTTTAGTCGATTTTTGCGTGTCCGCGATACGTTTCTGTTAAATTAAAGGGTGGAGCCGGCACGTCGCAGTGCCAACAACCCCCGGTCGAAGCTCGGCAGTCTGATTCCTCGTTGCGTTACGTGAGCCAAGATACAAATCCTAAAAATTGCCGCAACGTGCCATCACCGTATTTCTTCTCGCAGCCACGGTGGTGACTGCGACTTATTTGTCGGACGAACGTCTCTCATATAAATCACACGTAGCAAATCGCATGTGAAGGTATACGTACATCTGAAGATTTAACGCATTCGTAAACGGTCTCATTTGATTTTGATCGGTATACTGGATCTTCTTCTTTAATTACTTTTTATTTTTAACGTACAAATATCCAATGGAAAAAATACATATGCCTATTTGATTACGTATACATATATAGTTAAACTGTGCATTATGAATAAAATGTGGTGATTTCAACGGTTTTACTTTATGACACAAATGAAAGCCGATAATTAGAGAAACTCTCTGTCTCTCTATCTATCTCTATCTCTATCTCTATCTCTGAAAGCGGAATGGATGTACAAACAGGGAAAAAGATCAGGTTGATTGTCTGATGAATAGGACACGGTCTTGTTTATCCGACTGCAACTCGCGATATATTTAAAATGTACTGAGATCGCGTCCATGGTACAAGCGATGTTTATTTCATCTCTTCAGAGTTCATTAATTTCACTTGCATTTTGCGAGAGCTCTTCGTGTAATTAGCCGATGGAGGGACATAAAGAACAAAAGATGCGATTACGGTCGGACGGGAACGAAATAAACGTGACCTTAAATGTAGCTTCGCATTATTTTTCAACGGATGATTGCGCCGCAATAACTGTCAACTGGAGCTTATAAATTTCGTTTTTTCCCTCCTCCGACAATGCGACGCGCGTTGCATTCAAACGGGAAAGTCAGTGAATAAATTCTCTTACATCATGTTTATGTAAAGCGATTAAAAGTCAGGCGCAACAACAGTCTAAATTTAATGAGTCCAATAAATGGTGTCGTTTCAGTGATTTGCCGTTCTTTTTCTCGTTATTCTAAGTATGATACATAAGGAGGACTACAAAGGAGATAAAAATTGAACAAAAGTAGCTTACCTAAATTTAACAATTTATTTTTCTTTCTTAAATAATATAACGAAGAGAAAAGAAACTGTTTAATCGAAATCATGCAATATTATTTAATCTGAATCTTTCTAGTAGACAATATTGTCGACGATAAATCAAACAGTAACGATGCACTTTGACTGAGTCGCCGGCTTAATTTTGAGCGCGTGCAGGACACACGGTCCTAAATTGGCTTAATGGATGCGAGTGGAAGTGGAAATAGAGTCATGGTAGCGGCGACAAAGACGACAGGAGTGACGTCGGCGTCGTCACGTCGCATTTTCAGGGAGAGATTGCGACTGCTTGGTCAGAGTCGCTTCCAAGGCGCGATTTACAGAGTAGAAATAAATCAACGAGTGAGCCGTTATCTCACGAGATTCGGTAGAATGCTGGAGTCCGCAAAATGGTAGAATTAGGATTGACAAATTTGGCTGCTATCCTCGCGAGAGCCTAGTTTCCATATTAGAAATAGCTGATAATTTTCTTAGCTCCACTGGTATAAATTCAGTTGGACATTGAATATAATGATAGTTTTGTTAATTATTCTATAAGTGCTAAATATATAACTATTTGATTTTTATACAATATTATTTTAGAAATAATTTTGTAAATCTTAGACTGTTAGATATAATATAAATAAATTTAAAAATATATATATATATATATATATATATATATATATATATAATATAATAATAATAATATATATATATATATATATATATATATATATATATATATATATAATAAAAAGTATAAAATAAGTAGTTATTCCTTTTTTTTTATATATTTTTCTTAATCATACTTTTATTATATATTACTGTTAATTATCTGTTAATTAAGTTATTGCCACTCGCGTAAGTCTGGAAAATATGCATAAATGCTGAATGCAGATAAAGCAATTACAAGTGATATAAAGTGATTATAAGTAAACATTAGATATTCAGCTCTCTTAAATTCGTCTTCTTAATAGTTTCTTACTTGTTCGCAGACGAAAGCAAGATGAGGTGCAGATCCTCGAAGAAACGATACGGATGCGTTCAGAGAAACATAAAAAGGCTGGGATAGAATTGAATGCCACGTGTCACATATGCCTGAAAACCAAGTTTGCCGACGGCGTCGGCCACATCTGCAACTACTGCGACATCCGATGCTGCGCACGCTGCGGCGGAAAGGTCACTTTACGGTCAAGCAAGGTAAGAGGGCTCGGAAAAGGGGTACACGAATAAACAGCTAGAAGAATCACGAGGCTAGATTGATCGAGTTGTCGCGAGTATCTGTCCCGACATGTTACACTTTTCTTTCCGTGTATTACATCGCCGCACCCGACAATATCGTAGAGAAAACCTTTCGAAGGCCTCGGCGTAAAAAGATCACACTGAAAATAAAAATAGAAAAATATACATTGGCATGTAATGCACGGTGATCGAGTTGGTGTTAACGCGTTTGATGTAAATAACGATAAAATACTCTCGTTTAGCAATTTCTTAAGATACATGACATAATAGAGATAAATTCTTTTAACTAAATAACGAAGAAGAAAAAAAATGTGTAGATTAAAGAGTTTTATTTTGCGATGCAAACAGTAGTCATTCGGAGCAATATATAAAGTGTGGAAAATAAGCTCATCAGGCCCGCACTATTCTTAGAGCGAATTTTTCATGAATGTAGAATATAGGAGTAATAGAAGCATCTTGATTTTATCTTAAATTTTGGCGCAGAAATTTTCTATTTATATTTTTTTTATTTAGTTAGCAAATAAGTAAGTGAATAACCAACGGAATCAATATGAGATTATCGAAGTTCACATAAATTTTATGGAGCGGACAATTCATTGATCGTATAAATATAATGTGGCAACGTAAATCGATGCTTTGATAAAAAGCACCATTCAAAATCACAGCCGATTAAACGTGATTAAATTAATATATTTACCCTTTGCAATCAGAAAAATTTGAAGTATGCGAATGTGCGGTTCTGCTCCACAAATTAGTTTCATTACCGAAATGTTTTTCGTAAAATTTTTCCCACAAAACCCGCTGGCGCGAATGTGCAGGAGTAGGTTTTTGTTCTTTAAGACAAAAATTTCGCGATTGCCCCCCCCCCCACCGCCCCACCCATTATGCGCGCACATACTCCGCAATGGCAGAAATAATGTAAGCAGATAACGTCCCAGTAAACACTAAGCATTGGTTACGTTACGTCTATGTTATAAGTCAACAATATATGTAAATGCTACACATGGTGTTATATTGCATCTACACTGTTGAGTGAAATTATAACATAAATGTAATGTAACCGATGTTCAGTGTCAATTGGGGCGTGATTTGATGGGAGGAAGAGAAAGGGGCTATTTGGATAGTGTTATCGAAGTGCAGCGAAACGAGAGAGAAATGTTGAGCGGTACGGATCCAAATGTCAGCTTTCTGAAAACAATTAACAGCAACCGTATTGTAAAAGATGATAATAATCTAAGACGTATCGTCTGGAGACGTTTACCGGAATACACCAAAACAATTGGTCTGACGGTGCATTATTATTTCCGTGCCAGTTCACCCATAACCTTTTTATTGTATATATTTATGATATCGGTGGACATAATGCTATCACTAAATAGTCATCGCATTGACATATTGTCTATTTTTCTTTCTCTCTCCTTCTCTCTCTGTCTCTATTTTTGTGATTCTCCAATATACCGGGAGCGTTTTCTATTCGCTTCTATTCGTATGTAATTTCGATCGGATTTTCATCGGCGAAGACAAAGAAGAATTAACATTCCGTGCATTAAACGTTTGGCGCGTATACAGCGGATACCGGCGCAGGATGCGCTTTTAAAACTTTGCTATTATCCGCGCCACCACATTCCGGGATCCGCACAGATTTTCGCAAACAGAAACTAGCACTCGTCGAATTGCACCTATACTGTTCTAACGCGATTATCCACCTGCGCAAATATTATTCTTATCTCGCATCGGGATAGTTACGTTCCGTCCTCGTGCGGTATCGATTTATTCCGTATTCGACTCGCAGCCTTTCTGGCATAATCCTCGTGCTAATAATGTATAGAAGTAGCGTATGAGAAAGATTTTATTGGTTCTCAATGGTGTAGCCGTAACGTAAAACCGTATATTATTTAGTGTCGTGTCGCGACGCAAAAACGTGCGATGCTGTGGATTTACCGTGTACCGTTTGAGATTTCATGAATACTTACAGGCGTGGATAAAATTGACAGCTATAACGTATATGTAATACATATGCGCAATTAATGCGCAGCTAATGCGCATATCCGTACGTATGTGAACATTAATATAAAAAGATTTACGTTTAAATAAATAGAAATATAATATTAGATTTTTCCGTCATTATTTTTAGCTTAGAACACCGATTTTATCGATTACCATGTCTTCTGGCTTTATTTAATGACCCAGTTTCGTGACAGATAAATTACGGATTTAATACCGAAATAATTATTGAAAGGAAATCCAGAGAGTATTTCTAGGTACGTGCGCGCAAATCACATGCTCGCGCGTCTGTGTGCGATATTTCGCGGCAGGACATCTCTTTACTACGGACATGTAATAGCTTTTATCTTTCGCGAGCGTCGCTGCATCTTTCATCTCTTTCAGCGCGGAGACAGAGAGCTCCATTTTCCGGATTATTAAAAGTAATCCGGGCGCTGATCAATGACGCTCGCGAGCGCGCCCGCGTAAAATTTAACGGCGCTCGGGCATGGAAATGTCGGACGCGCATAAACGTAGGCGAGCACGGGGGTAATAGGGGTGTTTTGTAGTAAACCCCTCACCTCCCCCCCCTCCTCCACAGGTTGCACACGTGCGCGCACGCTACGCACGCATGCCTCCGTCATAGTCGCACGCAAGTACAATGACAAACGTCATCGTGAGCGAGCGTCGTTACATCATCGATCCGCGCGCGCGAAGGGCGCGACGAGGGCGGAGGACGGGGGCGGAAGACAGGAAAGGGGTTCTTTCTTCGTTCGGCAAATGAACGGCAATTCTCCTTCTCCTCGCGTTGCGTCGCGTCGCGTCGCACAGTCGCGTTTAATTGCGTCCCGTTGTGAAAACAACGAAATTACAGAGCTATCTAAATGTCTCGCTCGAAGCGAATCGATACCAACCGTTCGGTTATACGCAACCAATCGCGATCGCGCGTCCAACTATGTCTATGTGTTTCGTTGTTGTCATCGTCTGTCATTCTCTTTATCGTTGTCATTGTCGTTGTCGTTGTCGTTGTCGTTGCCCGTCGCTCTCGTCGCCTAACGGTTTTCTTTCTTTCTTCCCCGTCCCGATCTTTTTC